CTTAATATAGTAGTAGTAAATTAGAGTTCTTTTTAAAGAAATAAGCTATAGTCGCGCTAGCGTATTCTAGAAATAGAAGCTTCTAAGTAATTAACTAGTAGAGCTTCTTCTTAGAATTAGTAGTAGAGGTTTTCTTTTTATTAGTAATAAGCTAATCTATCTTATAGATACTAAGATATCTAATTATAATATTTTTTCTACACGCGTTAATTATAAAGACGGTAACGCTAACTATATTAATATTAAGTCTAGCCTTTAGGTATATTTTTTGTAAAATAGATAGCTTTTTTAGCTTATAGAGTAACCTAGTAGGTAGATTAAAATTCTTAAGCTACCTATCTATCTTATATAGGTTTTCTTAAAGCTTCTAGTATTATAATTCTCTTTTCTCTTATTATATTACTCTTAGCTTTTCTACTACTAATATTAAGGCGTAATAATAATTAGTATTAGCTTAGTAAGCTACTTAAGCTCTAGTAGTAGATTAAAAGAATTATATAAAGATAAACGTATTATATTTATAATTAATTAATTAATTAGTATCTAGCTATATTAGTATATACTACTTATAGTTAATCTAAATATTAACTTTTTTAAGTAGCTTATAACTAATTATTACGTTATAGTAGTCTATATTATAATATATAAAATAGATATATATTTAGTAGCTTTCTAGTACTAAATTAGCTTTAAAGTATTTATCTATCTAGCTATTAGGTTATCTATTATATCTAGTAAGAGAAATAAGTTCTATATATAATAGCTTAATATAAAGGTTTTTTCTAAGAGTTTAAAGGTACTTTAGGTATACTAGAATATAACTACCTACTCTAGTATTAATTAAGTCTCTAAGCTTAATTATAAGACTATTTAGAGATATTTAGTAGAGTAGAGTAAATATAGAACTACTAAATAGCTTTTTATATAAATTTATTACTCTAGTAAGTAGCTCTAGAGAAAAGACTTCTTCTAGAGCTAGGCTTTTTCTAAATTATTAGATTTATATTTTAATATATTATTTTTAAATACTTATAGCTCTATAAGCTCTATAAACTTCTTTTCTAAATTAATATTCTTAATAGCTTTTTATATAGTAGAAGCTTTTAGATAATTATAGCTTATATAGCTAGATTACTAGTATTAGAAGTAGATAACTAGCTTCTTAATTACTAGAGCTTTATTAGATATTAGTAGAATATCTAGAAGAGTAGTAAGTATGTAATATAGTATTAATATAAGTGTATTATACTTTTTAACCTTTCTAGATACGTAAGCTTCTTTTTAGGTAAGCTCTCTAGTAAGATCTTAAGTAAGATCTATATATTAATTATAATTATAGGTATACTAATATTAGTAGATACCTATCTATATACGTAGATTTACTAGAAGCTTTTTATAAAGCTTCTCTACCTATTAGTCTATTAGAAGCTAGCGCTTTTACGCTAGATAGAAGAAATTAATCTAGAAGTATATAAAGTTAGTAACGTACTTTATTATTAAAAGCCTTATATTATCGAAAGCCCCACGATTTCTTGGCAACGAAAATTAACGAAAATCAACCCGTTTTTCTTAAATAACTAAGCAAAACCTTAATATCTTTCTATAAAACTTTATATATATATTCTTTATAGTATATTACACCTTGTACTAATGTTACACTAAGATATATTACGTAATTAAAAAGCTATATGTATTTAACTAAATTTTAGAAAAAATCTAGTTTACTTCTAGTAAGTACTATTATATCTCTATAATAATCTATAAAACTTATAGTATATAGTATTTATAACGTAATAAAGGTTTCTAGAAAACTTCTATAGCGCTAGCTCTTCTAGGTATAGTGTAATAAGAGATAGAAGTTAGAAAAATTTCTTTTTTAGAGTTTTCTCTTCTAACTATATATATATTAGTTAATCTAGCTATATACACTTATAATTTTATAAATTATAGTATACTTAAACTATATAGAGCTTATTAACTAATAATATACAAGCTTTAAGTAGTTATTTAAAAGTAAAACCTTTTTATAGTATAGTATAAAAAGATAGAACTATACTAGAACTATCTTAAATTTATTACTTCTAAATAGCTAGAAAGCTTATAATATATATAATCTTATAATATATAGCTTTATATAGCTAGATTATTAATATCTATATATAGTTAGAGAAGAAAACTCTAAAAAGAATTTTTTAAACTTCTATCTCTTATTACGCTATACTTAGAAGAGCTAGCGCTATAGAAGTTTTCTAGAAACCTTTATAACTTTATAAATACTATATACTATAAGTTTTAAATATTATTATAGAGATATAATAGTACTTACTAGAAGTAAACTAGATTTTTTCTTAAAAGTTAGTTAAATACGTATAGCTTTTTAATTACGTAATATATCTTAGTGTAACTTTAGTATAAGGTGCAATATACTATAGAGAATATATGTATAAATTTTTATAGAAAGATATTAAGGTTTCGCTTAGTTATTTAAGAAAAACAGGTTAATTTTCGTTAATTTTCGTTGCTAAGAGAAGGTAACTAGCTCGCTTGTGTAACTAGCTTGCTTGTAAAGTACGTTAGTTTATATTTATCTTTATAGAGAAGCTCTATAAGCTTACTAGAATTAAGTAAAAGCTCTCTACTATATATTACTTATAAACTAATAGAAATATAAAAATTATTAATTAATACCTTAATTAGTATCTATATCTATTTATTAACTATTATTAGAATAATTAGTTAGATCTCTTACTTTATATAAACTAGATATAAGCTATACTACTATATAAAATAACTAAATTATTATTAACGTACTTTATTACTAAAAGCTTTATATTACTAAAAGCTCTACGATTTCTTAGCAAGAAAAATTAACGAAAATTAACTCGTTTTTCTTAAATAACTAAGTAAAACCTTAATATCTTTCTATAGAACTTTATTTTTATATTCTTTATAGTATATTATACTTTATACTAAAGTTACACTAAGATATATTACGTAATTAATAAGCTATACGTATTTAATAAACTTTTAAGAAAAGTCTAGTTTACTTCTAGTAAGTACTATTATATCTCTATAATAATATATAAAACTTATAATATATAGTATTTATAAGTAAATAAAGGTTTCTAGAAAACTTCTATAGCGCTAGCTCTTCTAAGTATAGCATAATAAGAGATAGAAGTTAGAAAAATTTCTTCTTAGAGCTTTCTTCTTCTAACTATATATATATAGTTAATCTAGCTATATAAACTTATTATTATATAAATTATAGTAGGCTTTAACTATATAGAGCTTATTAACTAATAATATAGTAGCTTTAAGTAGTTATATAAAAGTAAAGTCTTTTTAGTAGTATAGTATAGAAAGATAGAAAGATACTAAAACTATTTTAAAATTATTACTTCTAAATATATAGAAAGCTTCTAGTATATATAATCTTATAATATATAACTTTATATAGCTAGATTATTAATATATATATATAGTTAGAGAAGAAAACTCTTAAAAGACTTTTTATAAACTTCTATTTCTTATTACGCTATACCTAGAAGAGCTAGCGCTATAGAAGTTTTCTAGAACTCTTTATTAAGTTATAAATACTATATACTATAAGTTTTATATATTATTATAGAGATATAGTAGTACTAACTAGAAGTAAATTAGACTTTTCTTAAAAGTTAGTTATATACGTATAGCTTTTTAATTACGTAATATATCTTAGTGTAATTTTTATAGTAGGTGTATATAGTATAGTTCTATCTATATCTAAAACTTTATAGAATAATATTAAGGTTTCGCTTAGTTATTTAAGAAAAACCTGTTGATTTTCGTTGATTTTCGTTGCCAAGAAATCGTGGGGCGTTCGGTAGTGTGGGGCGTTCGGTGGTGAAGTACGTTAAGTTAACAGGCTTAATATAACCGTCGACTACTATTACGAAGGCCTAAGAGTAGGTAGACCTTGGAACTATAAAGTAAGACGATGTATAAGGGTGAAGGTAAGAAGCAAGATTAAACGAGTCCCGTCCTGGCGTCTGATGTTTGATCTGTTTGGCTTAAGCTACCAAAACATGGCGAGCCGCTTTTTAGCATGCCACCAGCACATCGAGTGTGATTCTTGAACGCATTATTTTACTGACGGTGCTACATCGAGATGTCGACCTGGAGAGAAAGACCCGCTAGCTCAGAACACGCTCGCAGTGACACGCAGAACCGGTACCAGTTATTACCAGCTACCCGTCTCCCGCTCGGCCTGCGCGGTTGCTCTCTGGGGCATGAGGGGCGCAATAGGCGACCCTGAAAGTCAATGTGATGCGCTTTACGGTGCCGGCTTGGGGCGCGAAAGTCACGCGCAAAAGTCGTGCGGTTCTGCGGGGTGCCCCGTGCGAGCCAGAAAATCACAACGTTGCCCTACTTTCCTTGTGCCCCGACTTTTACGCTCGCGCGATCCACGTCTATCGCAGCCCCGTTGCCTTGCGCTCCGATACCGTTGGCCTTACCGCCCTTTAGGTGCTTAAAGCCTTGCCCTGCGCACAAGTCCTGACCGACGCGTCCGGCTACTTCGACCTGGTGCGGCCTTCCCCGTGGCGACGACGCCTAGTACGATTACACAGACGCCGATACCTCATGACGCCTCGCTCCAACTCGAGGAATTTGCAGACTAGCTGCAACAACAAGAGGAGTGGAAGGATATCCACCCTGGCCTACAGGGCTCCAAACACCCGCAGTTGAAGGTAAAGCTAGGTCCGCTCTGCCGCGAACTTGTATAGACCATCGTATTCTACCAGGTTGCCGTACAGCTGACTATCGAAGGGCATATCGACTCCAGCGTTAATGCCTACAGAGTCGTCGGAGAGACTCCATGCAAAATATATTCGTCCAAAGGCCCCACTCGCATTTATCTCCTCCGCGGACCAAGGCAAATCTCCAATCTAACCATCCCACCCGACTATACCATAATGTGCTCGGAGACGTTTACCGTTCATCCATCCCTGCTGTTCATCTTATGCACCGGTTGACGGCGGAGCTGCTGGCGATTGCGCGCCCTCCCAGTCCCAGGAAGCGCAATCAAATAGCTCCCCCAACAACTTATCCAACTCATTATCGCTTTTCTCCCAGCCGTCAAGTGCTTCAGGCTTCCGTTGGATACGGCCATTTCGGAGCTCTGGCCAATCCACATGCTTTCTAATTTCTTCAATCAGTGCTCCCTTGCACTCGCAGAGTCTCTCATAGCTCCAGCCGCGTCGCAGTTGTTCTTCGATAAAGAGTTTGGAAGCGCGGAAGTGGTCGTCTGGCGATATGTTCCATGAAGGTGCCTTGAAAATGGCATTGCGGTCGCTCTCGGAGGACTTCTTGCACCACCTAGGAAGTAGGTTCGCTGTCATAATTCTTGAGGGCAGTAACCTACCAGCTGCTCGTCTTCACCAGGAAAATGGCAAAGATTGCTCCAGCACCTTCCTTCTCCATAATGGATACCAGTCTCCTTCCCCAGTTTGCCTCCATCTTGCACTTGTTTATATCAACTTGCGTGTTCTTCGCGGCTTCTTGTGCCGCAAGTTGTCGTGTCTTCCGATATCTTTGCTTGCGGGGTATTGACTTCGGGCTACTTGCCTAATCTCCGAGAAGCGCTTCTACTTCGAAGGCGGAAGACACCAGTTCGAATCGTCTCTTACAGGCGTCCTCATCGCGCCGCTTCTTCTTTGCTAAGCGCTCTTGATGGCGCTCTTGATTGCGCTTCTTCTTCTTCTTCTTTTCCAAGCGCTGTGGATCCGTCTTGTATTTTTTGAGGATTTTGGAAGCGACGGTGACGTTATTGCTTGTATCCTTTCCCTCCTTTTGGAAGCGCTCGATCAGTTCATGGGGTGGCTTCGTCATGATGGAAACGTGGGGGAAGGGCCGTGAGAGGTTTAGAGAAATAAGGGAGGGTACCAGAAATGAGGGAGGGTACCAGAAACGAGGAAGGGTATTAGAAACGAAGGCCGCGCCGTGCGTGCCCGAGCCCAGCCGTGCAGGGTTGTGCCGCGCCATCCTGTTTTGCTTCCCGGACCACGCGCTCACAATAGCAGGCTTTTGGTGGCTGAGTGGGATCGTGCCGAAGTTCCCTAGCCGGTGCATTAACGTTATGCTCTGATGTCTCTTGACTTGTTCTAGATATCACTCGTCGAAGATCTCCTCTGTCCCTTTTCGTTGTCTTTGTTTCCCTACCCTTCTTTCCCCACGACTTCGCTTCGGCAAGATGAATTCGCTCGTCGCATTTTCAGCTGTCGTAGCCGTCTATGTGTTCTCTATAGCCAGTCTCCTCCCGTGGAGTGTCCGCACCTAGACGAATCGCCCCCGAGGCTCATCGTCACCCGCACCCGTAACCATATGGCCGTTCATCTGTATTCAACTTAGGGCTCAAGTCATCTCACTGGTAATTGGGGCTATTGTGGTGGAGCGGGTTCGAGATAAGGCGGAGATTGTGCGAGGTTATCGCACTTCGGGAGTTATAGCATCTGATTTATTTATTTTAGGAGAGGTATATTCTTTCTATTGGTCGGAGAATTGTGCTAAAACTGTGGCAGGCTTTATTTCTTTAATGTTATACTAACCGCTTCTACGCCACCTATCTGGCGTCCGACGTCGAAAAGGCGCGCACCGTCTGCCAAGCGTGTTGCGCCTGCCTGGAGCGGAGCTGGCTTCTGAGCTGGCTTCGGTACATAGTGAGCTGGCTTCCGTTCATATTGAGCTGGCTTCCGTGGATAGTGAGAGTTTTAGTGCTTAGCCTCTATGTAACTAGAATTGTACTTGCCTTGGAAAAATTTTTTCCGTATAACGTACTTTCTATTTGTGGGCAGAGGGGGAGTTTAAGGAAGGCCCGAAACGCTTACCCAGCGCACTATTCACCCGTTTCCTGTTCTTTATAGGCATAGCGCAAGCCTGACGCATGTTTCTTCTTCCCCCGCTTGACCTGACAAAGATACTACGGCCTCGGGCAAAGATGTCTCGGTAGACTGCATGAGAAACTGACCCAGATGTTTATGCCGAAATCGTTGCTGGGTTCCAGGGAACCAATGGCTTCAACACCGGGGGCTTCACTGGCGGACCCTGTGGTGGCCCTGGCGCTTTCTCGGACTCAGCATCGACTCCAAAATACTGCTGGCCCGTGTGTATAGCAACTCGTGTCCGTCGATGCGGCCTTGCAGCGTAGCCGCTAGTTCGCAGTGGACTAATAACACTGGCGAACAAAGGACGAGCACCGCAGCGCTCCTCCGCGGGCTACGTCGAATAGGAAGGAGAGTGCTAATGCTAGAGCTCACCTTGTAGATGGACTTTTCGGAGTCTTGAACGATGGTATCGCGACAGAACGTGACGGCGCTAAGCCGATCGGGCTTGCTTAGCGAATAGAAACGTTAGTTGCCACGGTGATGTGGGTTCCCAACTGAACTTGTTCCGATGCGGACTAGCCTCGGTCACGTGTCGCCAAGGAGCCTAGATCCAGCAGGCAACAACAACACAAGGCCAGGCGCCCGTCTCCCATCTCTCCCGCATACGCATCAGTCCAGCAACTCCTCAACGCCAACATGGAGGACCGGCCCGATTATGAAAAGCTCTTTCTTGAAGAACGACGCAGACGCGAGGCTGCAGAGAGCGCGCAGCAGGCTGCAGAGAGCGCGCGCGAGGAAGAACGACGCGTACGCGAGGCTGCAGAGAGCGCGCAGCAGGCTGCAGAGAGCGCGCGCGAGGAAGAACGACGCGGACGCGAGGCTGCAGAGAGCGCGCAGCAGGCTGCAGAGAGCGCGCGCGAGGAAGAACGACGCGGACGCGAGGCTGCAGAGAGCGCGCAGCAGGCTGCAGAGAGCGCGCAGCAGGCTGCAGAGCGGAAACTTCGCAAGACAACTCTCCCCGAGTTCCTCAACGCATGCCACAAACACCTCCATTTAGGGCTCACCGTCCAGGCCAACTCGAAGTTATCGACGCAAGGCAACCCCGCGAACGCAAATAATAAGACTCGACCCGAACGGATCCTTGAATGGGAAGATTTCTCAGTACAACAGGAAGCGATATGGAATGTTCTTATGGATTCCGATTTTGTTTCGGGGCGGCACTTTACCTCGAAGCATACCGTGAAAGAGTCTGGCGAAGAGATCCGGGAAAGGCGGATGGGTTCTGAGCAGGATCTGCACGTCTTCCTGCGTACCACTTGCGAGAACCAAGTATCGGCCATCATCAAACAACTATACGGCGACAGTGCATTACGACAGAAATTCGGACTCAAGGGTTCTGTCAAGTTTGAGAATCATGCCAACACGCTCAGCCCGGAATTGCAACTGGAGGAAGGCATGGAACAAATGACGGTGTCAGGGACTCGGCTAGAGGCTAAGGCCAAGGGAGTCCAGTCGTCCGACTCGATGGACGCCACGGAACCAGCAGCCGCAGGTCGCGCAGGGACGTCACTGTACCTCCCTCGTGCCGATCAGTTCTGCGTCTATAACACCAGCACTCGCGAGACCGAGACCAGCACTCGCGAGACCGAGACCAGCACTCGCGAGACCGAGACCAGCACTCGCGAGCCCGAGACCAGCACTCGCGAGCCCGAGAGTCACATTGCGGCCTTCATCATGGAATACAAGGCACCGCACAAGTTGAAGCTCGGTTATATCTATGAGGGCCTGGGGGAAATGGAACTCAAAGACGTGATTCCGCGTCGCGAAACTGAGTCTTCGAAGGACCGCTTTCGCCGACTGGTCGCTGCCGTTATCACACAGGCGTTTTCGTACATGGTTGCGATTGGGGTCGAGTATGGTTGCGTGTGCACCGGCGAGGCATCTATCTTCCTACGGGTGCCGGATGACCCCAAGACAGTTTACTACTACTTGTCTGTCCCTAAGGGCGACGTCGGGAAAACTACGGGATGGACACCAAACTCTCAAGAGCCGAATCGCCTACACCTGACCGCCATGGGGCAGATGCTAGCTTTCACCCTGCAGGCGCTGAAGGTGCCGCAACGCAGCCTCGAGTGGCGGGCCGAGGCCGCCGCTCAACTAAACACCTGGACGGTCATGTACGAAGACCTGCTGCATAAAATCCCTCCACGAGACGCACCGTCATCCGAGTACCGACCGCCTCGGGACGACCGTTTACTTCGCATATCTCCTATCCGTCTCCGACCAAGACCGGTTCAAACCGGCTCTCCCAGCTGCCGGGAAACACCGGACCAACATGAAGACAGTAGTGACGAGGAGCCTGATCCGGACACTCCGAGCCGACAGCCATCCTTGCCCCAGCCTATGGCTCGCACCCATGCGCCCACCGGCAGCTCCTCGCCCAGCCGTAGTTCCCAGGGAGGATCGCAGAGTGGACAGTATTGCACTCAAAAGTGCGTGCTTGGGTTAGTTGAAGGGGGTCCGCTCGATACGTCCTGTCCGAATGTGCGAGATCATGGTGACAGCCGTCATCGAATTAATCTACGTACCTTCCTTGCTCTCATTCGCGGGCAACTCGCGGAGGATCTGGATATCGACTGCAAGCCTGTGGGCCGTCCTGGGTCATGTGGTGTCCATTTCTGGGTCAGGCTGAAGTCACATGGATACGTCGTAGCTGCCAAAGCCACCCCTGTCTACTTCGCCCAACGCCTCAAACGAGAAGCTACTATCTATCGACGCCTACGTCGACTCCAGGGCATCCACGTACCAGTTTATTTGGGCGACATAGCCCTAGCGAGACCCTATTTATACGAGGGCATTGTTTGGCTCACCCACATGATGTTCCTCAGTTTCGGGGGGAGGCGGATCTCTCAGCATCTCACCGCTGAGAATTGGGCAGAGGTTAATCAGCTGGTCGACTTGTCCGCGCAAGCCATTCACAAGCTTGGGGTCTTGCATAACGACCTTGAACCCCGCAATATACTGTGGAATAAGGAGACTAAACACGCTATGGTGATTGATTTCGAGAGGGCGGAGGTTGTCAAGCGGCGAACCGTACTCGATGTACCCTCACCAAACGGGGGGGGGAAGAGAGGTTCTGAGGCAAGCATGGCTGAGCAGGAAGAGGATGATGTGTTTGCGATGGAAAGACGGGGAGCAGCTATTGAATTGGAGGGGTTGGCCGTATTTTAACGGTCGTATCTCCGGAACTAGGAACCCCGTGGTGCTGCTGTATTGGTACGAGGGTATATTATCTCTCCACGCCGCCGTCCGCTTTAGGTAGTGTTGGCACTGAGTACGAATTCTAGTCCTAGAGCGGCGTAGCTACGCATGTCAGGGAAAGGCGTAAGGGCCGGGATGTAGAAAATAACATGGTATCTCTCCGAGTCGATGTAGAGTGCACCTAATGCTCTTGCCTTTTAGCTATTCGAATCGTGTATTGGTTGATCAAGGTACAGGTGTATCGTGGTGGCCGGTCAGGCACGTTGAAGAGCTGGAGTTGCCTACGTTTGGGGTAGCAAATGAGAATGAAACACATCTGGAGACACTTTATAGCTTTTGTTGAATATGTGGGCAGTATATATATTGGAGATTACGAGGTACACCACTGATTCTAGCAGTCGGTTTCGCCGTCTCAGTAGTTGATCAAAAACGACATAGAAGACAGCAGTAAGATAGACTAAATGCTGGATACTGTAGGCTGGCGCTTGAACGTAAAAGAGCTGACACTACGAAGACGGTTCCCATGTTCCCTGGCTCTGCAGCTTATTGTAAGCTTGAGGTCTCGGTCGCAAGCCCGGCCAACAGCGCAACGTGACTAAGCGCTGCCAAGACGGAACGACAAGCTGAGCCAACCGCTGCTCCTTGTCGACGACTTTCGGCGCGCAGACAGGACGCAACGCACAAGCGCATCCGCAATTCATGGAGCAACGTACCGTTGTCGGCAGTGTTTCACCGTTTTCTCAATCTCGCCATGAGAGCGCACCATTGTTGGTCTCGTTCTCGGTTTCCCGTATTTAGTAAGCGGACGCAACGGAAAACCGACTATAGAATGCCAACAAACGATGCGCTGCTCTCGAAACGCCCACGCCGCAAGTGAGCCTAGGCCCGTGGCAACGCCGCGAAAGAAGACCAAGGGCGAGTGCAGCTTCACATACTAATCCCCAGCGAGGCAAGAGCATCACGTGTGCTTAAAGTCCGATATCCGAGCCAGATGCAGTATCTCCGAGAGATTACCACCCTCACTTTCGCGCCCTTCGTTACGGTTCTTCGTCTTAGGACTCTCGCATGACGCAGTGCTAATTTGACCTTGGAACGAAAGCCAATCAACATTAGCGCCATGTATTGAATTTGTAGGGTTTTTAGCACTACTTCTGGGAAAGAATAGAATGTTTGGGAGCGACCTCCGTGTAGATGCGCCTCTAACGCCTCAGCCAAGATACGAGAAAACCACGGCGCGGTCATCAGCACAAAAGGACTGCTTAAAATGAAGATAACATAATCACGCTGATGCTATGAACATCAACCAAAGTCGCCAGCAATCTCTGTGCTACAGCCCGCGAACGAACCCTCGCCTTACCCGTTAAACTCAGCTTCAACGCCCAGCAGATTCTTCGACTGCAGGAACGTGCAATGTATCCGTCGTACGCCCTTCTCCATCCGTCAACGCCTCACACTCAGAGGCGAGGATCTTCGTTGGAAAGTGGTAGGGAGATCTCGATTGAGCATATCCCAATAGCCTTACGAATCCTTCTTGCGCAACGTGTAGTAGCGCAGTTTTACTGCGCCCGCCGACCGGTCTGGGAAGCGAGCATTGAAGATATTTTTCAGAGCGACTGGAAGTCAAGATGACGGACTACAACAAACAGACTGTCGCGAATTTGCGGCAGCTGCTGAACTTGATCCCAGTCCATAGCCATCTTATCCTTGTACGAAAGTAAGCGCTGTTCGTCTAACTCCGACCACGGTTTATGTGTTCGTTGGCGGAGCGCATATCGTCTCTGAATCCCTGTTCGCTGCCGGCGGCGTAAGGCCTGTATTCGTCTGTGCCTTCCTCTCCATTCTCGTCCACTTCGTCTCCGTCGTCATCTGGGCGGTCGGTGTTATAACTGGCAGCATCCCCGTGGGGACTGCTCATCAAGTCTGCATTGAGCAGCGTTGGGCTTTCGCGGGCACATGGACCTAACGCACCATCGTCATATCGGTACCCTAGTAGCATCCATGAATCCAACGATAATTACATGCGGATGACTTTGCCTTCCCCACCGAGGAGCTCGTAATCCAGCGATCGTAAAGGCCATGCTGCTAGAAACCCAGGCTCGCCTCTAAACGACCTCCTGAATAGAGAAGGTGACGACAATGACGCATATGCTCTGGAAACAGTTGAGGAGCTATTGCAGACCCTGGGACAATTTATCTCTCCTTTCAAAGAAACAGAAGGTGAACAAGATGTCGATCCGGACTTGGACAGGCGTGAGAAGCGCAGAGAAAGAAGTAATGGTGAAGGGGAAAGCCACGAGTACGAACTCGGTCAGGTCGATGAGTTGTTCCGCATTCACTCCGGCGAAAACTTCGTTACGACGTAAACGCTGCGCTCGTCCGGCCCAGGAGAATAGGTGCGGTCCATCACGAACTGCTCTTAGGCCACGGGGCTCTTGCACAACGCCGACGAGGGCATTGCGACAAGTAATGTCATCCCAACCACGGGAACTGTCTCGGCTCAGGATGGGTAGCGCACCTCGGCCTTGCTCCTTACGAACATCCTCCCTAGGAACGAAGCCTGGACAGGGAACCGACATTAATTGCGGACCCAGCGCCAACATGTCGTATCGGGTAACCGATCTTACGCTTTGTCATGTGCCGAAATTGCCTCTCAACCCGATAGCCCTGTCCGGAAGGCCAGGGCCAGGGCTGCTGGTGGCTCTAGAATGGGAAACATGGCCGCTAGGGGTTGGAAGAGGAGTTGATTTGGGTGTGGGTATAGGATTGAGTATGAGGCTCTCTGCCTGTCGCTCGGCCGGCTTTCGCCGCTTCGCCGAACGGGGGTCTTCCAGCTCTAGCTCCAACGTAAGGTCTAGCACTGCTGCCGGAGGGATTATCGTATGAACAGATGAAAGGCGCGTTCGTTTCCGTGTTGGCGGTCGGTTTGTTGGGCCGATGTTACCAAAAATTAGTTCGTCCTTCGCCGGCGGCCTGTCTTCGAAGACGTCAGAGTGGCTGCTTAGCTTTGTTGAAACTACTCACCATAACGAATACCTTTGATATCCTCTGCGGAGAGAGCGAATCCATCATTGGGGAATCGTCATCGAACCACTCTCTGGGATCTTCACAGAAGCCGGCTTCGGGAAGGTTGTGCTTTGCCGTCCTGGTTGTCGCCTTTGCTCTCTTTGCTGGCCTCCCGCTTGGATTTTTGCGCCGCGGGATCATAAGAAATGAATTTCATGCGAGGAATCGAAGGAGCTAGTGAGAAGGTATTGCTCGCGGAAGCCATTTTAGTATAGTGACCTGCTGGGCAGATCGTGAAGAGATTGAAAGACGCAGCTTCCTCACTGGACCGAGTGTCGCTTTATGTGCCATGGCCGACACCGCCGCCTGAGAGGGAGGATCGTGTAGAGCACGCATAAATGCCGCATCTAGCGCAGAAACGGTCGGAGCGGTCAGTGCAAGGACGCGGTCGTATTACCTTCTACGGGATGCGTAACTTTCGCCATACCTCTGGCTCCTGCTTTGCGTTGCCTGTAAGAGTCAGACTCCGTCAACCTCTCGCCCCGCTCGCCTGTGATTCCTCCAAGGCCTCGCCCCATACGGCCGTCGAAGCCAGATTCCAACACCTAGAGCTTTGCCCGTGTTGCCACCTAGCGCCTCGTCGAGCCGTCGAGTCGTACCGGATAGGCGCTCATGGAGGGGCCTAAAAGGTGTTTCGCGGTCGGAGGGCTTCGGGGAGGTAACAAGTTTCGCACGAAGGATCTGCGACGCGTTAACCGTAACAAGTTCTCATGGAAAGAGGTTTCCTACGCCCTCGTCGCATCTCATCTCGGTGTCAGAAATGGTGTCCTGTCGTACGGCTAGGATGAGTCCGCATCGGCCGGCTGGTTTCCGTATCCTAGTTTCCCTCGATAAGTTTCCCTAGGTGAATGAAGGCGTCGCCTAAATGGGGTCAGTCCGCGATGTGGCTGTGATGGGGCCGTCTCGTCTATTAAATTTTTCTTGGTGCGGGCTTGGCGCTCGATCAGCCCAGCACCGTAATCTGCAAGCTGTCATCCATCGCCTCTTTGGGTGAAGAATGACGACGGGCAATGGGTCAAAGCTTAGGGAATTACTATTGATGTCTCTGACCGTGGTCTCGCCATACAATCTAGATAAGCAAGAGACTCGGCAAATGACTAATCGACATGCCCTACCCACACCGCTCCATCGCGTGTCTTCATCCGTACACCTCGCCTCACTCAGGACCCTTCCCAAGAGACGGTTATATTCATATTTTGAGTAACGCACTTCACTGCGTCCCAACCCAGACCGCAATGTCCTCTCAACCTTGCCTTATGACTCTCGGAGGTATTGGGGCGATTTACAAGCTAAATGACTTTGTCGTCGTGAAAGTACCTCGCGACCCAGTCGAACCCGATCATGCAGCCGAGCAACGCGTCTTTGATATTCTTGAGCGCTACCCGGCTCACCCACATTTGGTCCGAAGTTTCTTCCGCATCCCGGCTAGGACCTTTTTGGAGCGGCTTCCGGGTGGCGACCTTGCATCACTCCTACGTACCCAACAGACAAGAGACACAAGTACGCAGCAAGTGTTAGTTGCAAAGGGGCTATCACTGGAAAGATCCTTCTGGTGGATGAGGGAGCTCACCTCAGCCGCTGCCTGGCTTGAAAGGATCGGTCTCGTACACGGCGACATTCGACCCCCAAATATCCTGATCGATGCCGAGGGTCACATCAAACTCTGTGATTTCGATCGTGCAGCTAAGATTGGAGAACGGCTCGATGCTGGCACCGAACCATTTGCTCGACTGCTGGGTGACGAAGGAGGCCGAGATCGCGGAACGTACGGAAAAGCCGGTCCTCGGACAGAGCAATTTGCACTCGGCTCAGTTCTTTATTCAATGACACGAGGATATGATCCATACGAAGATCAATGGTTTGGATTGGATCATGATTGTACTGTTATGGATATGCTTCAGCGAAGGGAGTATCCTGCGTTGACACGTTCCCAAGACACGATCATATCCGAATGCTGGAATGGGAATTATGTCACCATCCAGAACCTTGAGAATACGATGTTGGAAATAGCCTCTGGACCGTATGAAGAAGCCAAGATTGAAAGCACAGCATGGTATGTCTAGCATCAAGAGGAGTGCAAGGAAATGGTTACAAAGGGCATCATGGCTACCCTTTAAAGAACGTCGGTAGGGTACCACGGCTCGTGAAGGCTAGGATAAAGGGGATGAAGATTTAGAGAGGGTAGGCATCTGTGCCGTACGAGAGCAAGGAGGTAGCCTACTTGGAGCTAAGAGGCTGGTGGATGGGGAGGAAATTGCTGGAAAAGTGCAGAGGGCCGGCGATCAATGACATGATATTGAGAACTAATCGAGCTAGTCTCCGTTACCTTGGGAGAATTTGCTGGTAACCTACCCTCATAGCAGCTGTAGCACCTTAAGCAGGCGGCATGAGCTGTTGACGGTTATGATGCTCCTAATCTTGGGCGGCCTGTACACCTTGATCTCGCCGTCTTTACCGAACGCCAAGTACAGTATTCCTAGCTGAACCTTGCCCTCGGCATGCCGCCGTATGTTACCTTGGTCGTCGAGACCACGCCTACGCCCTGTGTGTTGACTGGTTGAATATACGAAGTTGACGATGCGGATAGCGAGGTCCTTCAGGCTGATGGAGTAGGGCGTAGTTAATTATTTTGCTGCTTGGGACGCAGGATCGGGCCGCGAATGTCATCGTTCCACGTCCCTTTCGAGCGAGACGTGTTTCTAAAGCTTATGGTGGTGGCGACGATATTGCGGACGGCGTTGAGCTCACGATGGAGAGCGCTAAGCATCTAGCCTTCGTCGGTGCCGAGTAACAGGAAGAGCTGGCGGGCATCATGCCTCTCTTTCTGGTTTACTCCTACAACCCTGTCGCCTGCCGCAAAGCGAGGGTTATTAACCATTAGCTCTTCCGCTTCAGCTCCCGTGGCATATATCACTCTCCTTGTATGACCTCCACACATCGTCGAAGAGCCGTAGCGCCTTCGCACTCCCTGTCGCCTGCGTCCCGCAGAGTGCGCGGGTCTGGAGTCATCTATGAGACGGGTCGTCGAGGTTCTTGACGGGACTCGTGGATCGCGTGCGGCTACTGGCGCAAGAGCTTTGTTCTCAAGAACCTGAGGCGACGGTCGCTTGCACTGCGCCTGGCCCTGAAGGACATCCGCGCTGGGAAAATAGGCTATTGCTGCCGCTCCTCGGACTGCGCCCAGGTCGCGCTTCGCTACGGGGAAGGACCGGCGTAGAGCAGGTGTGCAGCAGGACGCTGGTTGGAGATACAGGCCATGACGACTTCGTTTTATGATCGGGGATTGGATGTTAATGTTGTTCTCTGCCGGGGTCCACCCGTCTCCACAACGCCCTAACCAAACACATTAGTTCTAGCGGCTTGTGACAGCTTGCCGCTGCAGCAGATATTCACGAGGATGTGTTGTTGATATGGCCACCTTTTCAAAGTTCAGGTCGAGGTTGAGATAGATCTATGCTGAGCTAAGCCTTGCAAGGCGTTCTTGCCGCTAGATGATTTCGCCGATGGACTTGGTACGCCGCAGAAGCCCCGGCTTGGCACCGACACCGCGATGCGATCATCGTCCACTTCATCCTCAAAGCCTCCCCACTCTTGCCCGCCTTTCTTCGTATCATTGCAGGGCATTGGCTCTGATTTCGCCATGGATCTGCACTGTGAAGCGTGTAAGCACGACGTCTGTCATATCTGCCGTTGCACCCCATCGTGTCCACGCCGAGTAAGTTGGGCGATTTGCGTTTCCTTGCAACGCGGAGAAATAAACTGACGCCGAGCTACTCAAGTGCCTCTCTCCCGTAGCCGATTTAGTCTTCAACCCCGACGCCTCTTCCATGAACGATTTCGATTTCGAACCCGATCCGCACCTCCTCCCAATACTCCCTTTTGACTTCGAACCCGACCCGATCTGGCCCTCCTCCCACACGGACTTGAGCGACTCCGCCGACCCGTCTGACCGATCACCTTCCATAGCATCGCCCTATGGCAGCGATTGCACCGACATATCGCATCCGCCGAGGGCGGAAAGCAAAGGAAAGATCGTTGTCAATAGGACCTACACCGAGTTCGCCAAGCGAGCGATTAAGGAGCCCACTGAATGGAATTCATCGTCGTACGTCCAGCCCTGGACATTATCTAGGGACACATATATCGATGAGGAGGCAGAATCCAAGCACGCTCGGGATCATCCGATGTATCAAACCATTCTCGGAGAGGACGAGCTTTATCACTGCCCCTTCGAGGGCGAGCACCAGTGCAACCACAAACCGACAAAGCTCAAATGCAACTATGAGTAAGTTGGCTTAAACAAATGTATGCCCACAAAGGTCCCAACTATGTAATAGTAGGTACGTGGACTCCCACCTCCGGCCGTTCAAGTGCAAGAACACTACCTGCTCTGGCGCTCGCTTTTCTTCCACTGCTTGCCTTCTAAGGCACGAGAGAGAAGCCCACGGTATGCACGGTCACGGCTCAAAGCCCCACCTTTGCATCTTTCCCAATTGCGAGCGTGCTGTGCCGGGAAAAGGATTCCCCAGGCGCTACAACCTGTTCGATCACATGAAGCGAGTCCACAATTACACAACCCAGACCGTTCCATCTGAGGACGTTTCATCGGGTTTGGGAGCCAGTGCCAAAGGAGTACACCGGAAACGTAAAGCGCTTGATCAACAGGAAGGCCGGAAGCGGGTTCGCCTTGGATCATAGGCGAAAGCGTGGTGTATATATACCCACACTCAGTCACCAGTTTAGCGTTGTCGCCGCGGAAAAATTCACGTCGCATGGGCTTTAAGAGACAATACGGCTCGGCTATTGGACGCAAGGACAAGTTTCTTAGCTGGCATTTACTTGGGGTGCTCGGTCGACGTAACGAATGCGAACACGTAGGACCGGGAATAGAGAGACTATGAAAGCCCCAGACGGCGAACTAGAGTGAATGGTAGGACTGATAAGATACCACGGCGGACTGCGCTGAAGAGATATTTGCGGGCACCGGCGAACTCCCGTCAAGAGGGACAAGCGCTATGCTCCGCTCTGATGGCACGGTCAGAGTTCAGCCGAACTTTAAGAGACCATCGGTTCCCTTCGAATGCCACTCGACTTCCTTGATATCTCCCCGTCAACACAGACATGAGCAACAGTCGCTGCCGGTAGAGGCGCGGCAGGCTTAGGGCTGAGTCTCTCGCGAACGATGAGTAGCAGGAGACTAGACAAGGAACACGTCCGTTGGCTAGTGGTTAATGTCAGCCGTGTATGGGAAGGAGCAGTAGAGCAAGTGGCGAAGGTAGCAAACACCGGAAGTAGCCAAACAAACCATTAAGCAGGGCATGAGCGGCGTCGAGAAGCTCGCCGAGGCCGTGATCAAGGACTCCCGCGCGCGCCAAGCGAACGACAGCACGAGCGTCATCAAGTCTTCGGTGGAATACGACCAAAATGCCACGGCCCGGCAGACGAAGGGCGGAATAGCTAGAACCGCAGATTAGGTGCGAGACTCGTCAGACCCAAGTGACATGCAATCAAAGCGGTCTAGATCGGGGATACCGCGATAGCCTTCTGGATCCTTCTTGCGTAATATGTAATAGCGCAATTTTATTACGCCATCCGACCGATCTAGGAAGTATTCGAATACATCCTCCCACTCTATGTCCATTCTGTCTTATGCAAGTAATCGCACTTCGTCCGACTTCAACCACGGTTTGCGTATTCTTTGGCGGAAGCGCGTATAGCCTCTGCGGGACCCCTGATCACTGCCGGCAGCATGAGGTTTGTGTTCACCCGGGACTTCCTCTCCATTCTCGTCCTCTCCGTCTCCGTCGTCATCTGGGTGGTGGGTGTTATGACTGGCAGCATCTCCGTGGGGACCGCTCATCCGGTCCACATTGAGCAGCGTCGGGCTTTCGCGGGCGCATGGACCTGACGCACCATCGTCATATCGGTATCCCAGTAGCATCCATGAATCTGGCGATAGCTGGATCATGCGGATGTCTCCACCAAGGAGCTTGTGATCCAGGGCCATTGGGTGGAAAGACGACCCCGAGTCGCGGGAACGAACAATTGCTGTCACAGTCGACAAGCCCTTTGGCACAGAGCAAAGCGTGAGATTGGTCATCTGATAAGCCATGTTGGCACTAACTGATATTGCTCCCCCTCCAGCCTTCGTTCCCGGAGAGGATGTTGGTGGGGAGCAAGACCGAGTCGCGATGTCCATTCTGGGAGTTGACAATGGCCGTGGATGAGGTGACTTGTCGTAATGTCCTCGTAGGCATTGTGCTCCGGTCCCGCCGCCTAGGAGCGGTTCTTCATGGACCGCGGCATCTCTCCCGGGCGGGAGGTACGGTGCGTTTACGTCGGGAAGTTTTCGCCGAAGGCCTGCGGAACACCTGACCTGGTTGGCTTCGTCATCGTGGCTTCCCCCAACTTTACCACCACTGCCTTTTCTATTCTTTTCGCGCTTGTCCGAATCCGGATCGATATATTGATCACCCCCTATTTCGAAAGGAGAGATGGATGGGGAATGGAGCAGGTCCTCGGCTACTCCCCGAGCATGTGTGCCATCGTCGCCATTTTCTTCATCGATTGGGGACGGATCTGGGTTTCCGGCGCCGCCACCTTGGCTGTCATTGTCAAGACAGGCTCTGGCTCTGGAACGGCAATCTGGGCGGCTGGGTGTCGGCAGAGGCGTTGGCTTGGGTGTGGGCACATGATCGAGTATGAGGCTCTCCTGCTGCTCAGACGGCCTTCGCCGCTTCTCTAAACGACTGTCTTCTAGTTCCAGTTCTGGCGTAATGTCCGACACTTCTGCCGAGGTTATCGTGTTACCAGATGAACCGCGTCGGAGCTGTTTTGTGGGGCACACACCTTTTAGCTTGTTAGCTTCGGCTTCAGAGTCTTCTTGCGGGCGCTTCCATTTGGTGCGGGCCGGCCAAGAAGTGGGTGCAAGAGGGGTGGGAGGTGGTTAGATATGTTGCAGTCGTGCGCTACTTCAAGTGCCAGCGCGCCGGGTGGGCTTCACGATGGGGGTCTTCTTTCGAGGTCCAGTTGTGGGTTAGCGCCTGTGATTCTTAGCGGGAGCAGAATTGGGTCGCGGAGCCATAGGCATGGAGAGAGAGAAGCGGAACGCGCAGTGCAGCGCTGGATATATGATGACGGGATCGAAGGATGGATGCAGGAGTGTCGGCGCGAAGTTGGCGAGAAGGTTTGACGCTCCAGGCTTGGCGCTGGCGACAGGTGGCAGTCTGAAGCGAGCCGAGGCCCAACCCCGGTCACGGGACAGGGCCTATGCGCAAGCTGAAAGAAGCAGACCGAGGATTCGCCGATGGGCTGGTCCCCAAAAAAATTCAAAAGCCCGGACACTCCCTGTGTCGAGACCAATCTTTCGTCCACATTAATGAAGCAAAACTGTATCAATTCTTTCCTTCAACTTACCATAATTAAACCTGAAGAAAGGCTCATGTCCGAGGGGCAAAATTATTGTAGCCTAAGAGAAAACTCTATAACTCTAACTTATTGCAACGTCTAGGATTAGGATCAGCTACGCATAATTAAGGTTAAAGGCACCGCCAAGCTCTTTTCGCCTAAAGAGAACGTCGAGGTTACAATATTAGGACGATTCGTTAATTACCTATTACCCGAAGTTCGCGCGGTTACGGTTAATAACGAAGAGCTTATTTCTAAAGTCTCTACAGATCTAGAAGAGGATAATACTTTTTTTATTAGGTATCTTCCTTTCTCGACTACTAAATTACTTTACGATTGCCGTACAATCTAGTACTCTAAGCTGCGAGAGCTTAATTAGCTTGCACTAGGTGTTAATCTATTAGCATACTACGACAAAGCTAGAATTCCTTAGGTTGCCTTTAAATTTAATTCTATTGCAAAGCCTCGAAGACTATAGATAGTATAGAATAAGCTTAACCTTCTTAAAAGTCTACCGCTATATCTAAATATAGTACTATTTAATCGCGTAGTTCTTAAGAATATAGAGTCTTAGGTAATTAGATTTACAACAAAGTATATCTCTAGCAAAACTCTTAATAATTAAAAGCTGCCTCTTTGTTTTAAGTAGATATAACAACTTACGCAGCTTATCGATTTTCTAAATCTAGATCTAGGAATTATACATTAAGATATTTTGCCTCGAAATCTACTTATCGATTCTAAAATAGAGAAGATTCTTCTCTTTAACTTTAACTAGGCTGCATATAGGAAAAAGAACTTACTAGAGAGCCGAGATAATATAGCTAGCGCCGTATTTACGTTATACGAGCTTATTACAGGTAATAAGTTCTTTACGAGCATTCTTTACTAGAATCGAAATATAGATACTATGTAGAATATATTAGAGTAGACTTATAACCGCGAACTTAACTCTAATGTATTAACGTTCCGTAACTTTTTAAACGAATAGGTAACAACGCGAAGATCTAGCGGTAATATAAAACGATATCTTAACGCGCCTAACTAGCTTATATAGCTAGACCTACTAACGCCGCCTAACTATAGTATACCTTTTAAGCATGGCACGACTATAGATAGAGAGATAAAATAGATAATAGGTTCGCGGACGATACGCACTGCGATAGAGAAAGAATAATATATCTTTTACTAGAAAAGGCCGCTATAGAGTAGGTTAAGAAAGTTCGAAAATAGCATGTAATAGCAAATTAGCTAAGGCGAAAGCATTATTATCGTATTCTTTAGTAAGCTTAGAGTCTTTCTAATCTTGTATTCTTATTACTCGGATTATTAGCAGAGGTTATTTTAGGGAGATTTAATAACAAGATAAATAGAATGTAAGGTTTTAGCCTTAGTAACGTCTAGATTTAGTTTAAGAGGTCTCTAATTCTTAAGCTTAAGTTATTTATATATTTCTGTTGCTAACCTTAAATATCTTTCTAAATAGCTTCTTACTTAATTTCTAGCGCTTTCTTGTATTACTAAGCGTTACTAATAATAGTAAATATTACGAGTCTGCTATTAACCTCGTTTCTATGTATACCTTACTATATAGTACTATCTAGAAGTATTATTCGCTAGTAGCTAGCTAACTTATTAGAAAAAAGTCTTATTTGTTTTTAGTTATAGGTATAGCTTCTAAAACTAGCGTAATAGCTATTTATTTAAGTCTACGTTCTTCTAGTAAGCTATTAACATACATATAATAGGTTAATAGCCTCTTTTATCTTCTTCTTAAATATAATTCTTAGCGAAATTAGGTATACTCGCATAGCCGTTAAATGTAGATCGCGCGAAGACTATAGCAAGAATATCTCTAAGTACGCAGCGAAGGCGAGTAGTTACAACGTATTATTTGTATATTAAATATTCTAATTTTTTAATTAATATAAACTTACTACAAAGGCCGACTACAGTCGCATAGCTACTAAAATCTTAAAGAGTTCTGTTTCTTCTACGTAAGTACAAGGCGGATAAAGCTATACTATAGTAGCTAATTCTAGTTAGACGTATAGTATAGTTTAATTCTAATTCTTAAAGTTAGATATTAAACTTGTTAAGTATACAAAATAATCTTATAGAGATTTTATACCTAACTATAAGTATCTTAGTATATTAGAGAATATCTATATGTATATCTAGAACCTTATTTCTAGACCTGCTTTTTATTAAGTACGGCGTTAGTTTCTTAACCTTAGAATATAATAACGTCTACGTTAAATAGTGCTAGACTTTGTAAGGTCTATTAATATATAATTCTTATTATTATAAGCTTCTTGCTACCTAGAAGATTAGATTCTCTACTTTAGCATAAATTAATAAACTAACAATTAGGCAAAGCTCTAGCTTAGTTAAAGAGTATTCTTGCACGCTAGACTAAATTTCCTACGGCTTACCTAATCGAATTCGATAGAAGCTAGATAAGGTCCGCTAAGAGCTTCTATTAATCTTTCGTCTAGAGTACCTAAGGCAGTCTAGCATAATAACTTCTTAGAGAATAACTTCTACGTAAATAAAGCAACGAGCTATATTATAGGTATTATAGATTAGGCTAATACTATCTTTACTCTATTTAGGGTTTCTCTTAGTAGTCTTAAGACAATACTTAGCGTTTAGACTTTAAATTATTAGTACTTCTATTCTTACTATATTAAGCTTAGGGCGTATTTCTAGAATACTTTCTACAGAAAGATTAGTTAGATCTTAGCTAAGAATTAACGTTTAATCGAAGTTGCAAGACTATTTAGATTATTCTAAACCTACAGCTCTAAAGAGAGAGATACGAGAATCGTGTATCTCGAGGCGTTATGTATACTCTAGATACTACTATTATATTAGTTAACTAAAGTTTAAGTCGTTTTAATACTTATATAGTAAAGTACATATTACCTAATATATAAATAAAATAAAAATGTAGAGCTTATATACTTCTCTAATTATTTATTTATTATCGAAGAGTAGTATAAATAACGGTAACAACTAGTAATACAAGACTATAAGACCTCTATTTCTTCTAGGTTTGTACTAAGTTTTCTATAAATATTAGACTCTAATAATACTCTAGCAAACTAACTCGTCTAGCAGGTCCGTTTTATTCTTAATCTAGTCGATAAAGACTTTGTAAGTTACCTTATTCTTTACCTTCGCCTTAACCTAATATATACCTAGATTAGGTTCTCTACTAGAGTCGAAAGGCTAGCTAGTATTAGACTAGCTAGTAGAAATTAATTTTCTACTGTTTATCTTAGACTTAGGCAACATAATAGTGCTGTATTCGCTAACCTTAACTTTAGTAGTGTATTCTCTAGGCTACGTATCTTTAACTAAATCTAAGAACTTAAGCGTAATTATATTAACTAGATTGTTTCTAGTAATGTAGTCGGCGACCTTCTTAATATAGTTATTATTGTCTACGTTATAAAGCGAGACAGGCAAGAGGCTGTTGCTAAATTCGTAAGAATTAAGATAAAGACGAAGCTCTTCCGCAACAAATTCGAGAACAAACTTTAAAACAACTAGGTGGATATTTTTAAGATCTAGGGAGTTAATCGGAATTAGCTTAGTCTATTTACTAGGCTTAGTCTTTAGCTTTGTCTTAAGCTTTACCTACTTCTTTAGAATGTCGTTATGTTTGTAAAGTAGGTAGATACTAGTCTTTTTACGTAGCTCGTGCTTAGCGAATATAGCTAGAAGGTTCTTAATATAATTCTAACTAGCATGCATATTAGAGAAGATACGAGAAAGCCTATTGTACCTTTAGTAAACAACCTAAGTTAGTATAGACTTATAGATTAAGTAAAGAGAGATATTTAGACTTATGTAGTGTTAGACTTATTTATATTATCTACTATTAAAGAAAGGTAAAGACTAGAGATAGCTTGCACGGCTATAATAGCTGTGGCCGCTATTATTATAGACTTGTGTTTAGAGCTAGAATAGGCAGTAGTTAAGAAGCGAAGAAGAAGAGGACAAAAGGGTTATTAACTAGAGAGGGTAGCTAACTCGCACCGGCGCAGACCTTTGCGTAGACAAATGCTAAAGACGTTTATTTATGCTAATCTTTTAGAGCGTAAGCTAGCTTATCTAGAATAGGTCTAAAGAACTCTCTCTAATACCTATTCTTACTTTCGTCTATTCTATACTTTAGTAAATTTCTATATAACTTAAGCAACTAAAAAATTCTACGTATAGAATCTATACTTAGCCTCTTAAATTAATCTAGGTTAGGGCCTAGAATATATATACTACTTCTTCTAGATACTAGATTCTTACGCGAATACGCGTAGTAGACGAAGTACTTATATTCTATAATAGTAAGCGTAGACTTAACTATTATTATTAGTTTAAATAAAGTTTGCGCAATTTACGCGAGCTTCTACTTTTTACGTAATAATACGGTAATCTATATACTTATCTAGAGCTTCGCCTCTATATAGTCTCTAGATACAGGTTTTACCTTAAAGCTAGAAAAGAGAGTAGTCCGCTTTATAAATATATCTAGAGTATGTCTAATATCTCTATTATTTACTATGTCTAGTCTTTTGTAGAGGGCTAAGATATTAGAGTAGTAATATAAGTATAAGAGAACGTAGTTAGTTTTATAGTCTATAAATTTACAACGGCTAGAGTTAGTTAGAGAAGCGGTAGAGATCGTGGAGAGGTAGAGTAGATTAATAGACTACGATTAGCTAGACGTATAGTAAGTCCGCTATACCTTAGCAATATAAAAGATATCTTTCTTCTCTTATAACTACTATTTCTCTCTTAAGTATTACTACTACCTTAGCTAATACCTTGTCTACACTATATAAGTTAGAACTAGCAGACTATTATTATATGTAATTACGAGGCTAGCACTATTACTAAAGCTATTAAGCTATTTACGCTACTAGACTATTAGAGGGTAGACATAGCTAAATAATAGCTGCGAGAGCGCGTATATAATAAAGCTACTACACTATAGTTTATTAAAGATAAGACGACTATTCTAGTTCTAGCAGTTATTAATATTAGCGAAGAGCTAAGTAGCTTCTTCGTAATAACTAAGCTTATCGATAGTGTACTACTTACTAAAATTAGAGATAAGTGCTAGATACCGTAGTTGCCTAGTTACTAGCTAACCTAGTGCTCGGCCTGCAAGGCGGTAGCAACCGCGAATAGGAAGACTTTTGTTAAAGAGGTAGTTCTTCTCTAGCTTAGAGAGCTAAAGTTAAATACAACTAGGTTTAACAAAGTTATTATTCTACCGCCTTAGGTAACCGAAATTAATAGAAGAGAGTTCTAGAAGACGAAGACATTAGCTATACTAGAGTTTATGTTCTATTATAGTAACCTAGAGCCTTTTAATATTATAATTAACTCGCTTACTTTAAAGGTAAGGGCCGTGTTTAACCTAGAAAATAGTAGTTTTTTTCTCTAGGTTTTTCTTAAGTAGTAGGTAGTTAACACGAAAGAATATTTTAATATATATAAAACTATATACGAAAATCTAACTAAGCTTATAAAACTTGTTAAGGCTCTCGAGCTATAGAGAATAGGTCTAAGATAAGATAGTAGATCTATAACCTAGGTTAGAGCAGATAGCTATATCTCTTCGTAATTTATTATTTATAGTATTATAGAATATATAATAGAGACTATAAAGCAAAGACTTAATATATTATTTTATTAAAAGACTTTATAGTAGCGTCTAGCAAAAACGCTGTTAATACTATAAATAAGACTATATTATAATTAGACTATGCATTAGACTAGTTATAGGTAGCCTAACATACGTTTTAAAATTTTTAAGAGGCTATAAGCTATAAGTAGAGTAGCTAATTAACTATACTATATATCTATAACGCTATATAAGCACGTAACTACTATAAACGTAGCTTAAAGAGTTAGTCTATAGTAGTAAAACTATAACTTTACGGTGTCGAGATTAGCGCTATAGCTAGCATTGTTAACAATTACGTTAGTGTTTGCGTATTAGCTTAGCAGGGCGAGTGTAGAGCCTCTCGGCTTAGCTTTAACGCTAGCTTCTCGCTACTACACAGGTATACCTAAAACTAAAGCAAAAGAATTCTACTAACTTAATTTAAGACCTAGAGTTTATAAGTTATCGCCTTTGCGCTCTTAGCTAGATAACTACAGGCAACAAATAAAATACCACAACAGCTTTTAAAAGGGTCGCGTAGAGGAATACCGCGACAATAGATAGATTCTTCGTCTTGCTAGCTTCTACTAAGAGAGTTAGTAGTAGAATTCTAGTTAATAATTTTACTTTACCTTTAGTCTTAATATCGCGTAATAAACTCTCTATATCTGTATAATACCTTCTCTAGCACTTTGCGATAATAGAGTAATAGATGTCTACGCTATCTAGTTAAGAGAATTTATTAAGAGAATAGGCGTCTTTAATCTTATTAACTAACAAAGTAGAATATAGCTTAGATTCTATAACGATCTTGTAGAACGTTAAGCTAAGAGCGAATATCTTGCTTTAGACATAGACGCTCTAAATCTTAGAGTATAAATAGCTTAACTTATAGTAGGTTAAGTATAGCTCTTTATTAATTACTAAGTTTATAAAATCTGCGACCTTTACGTTAAGATTTTAGTTAAGAAAGATATTATTATAGAAGATGTCGCCGTAAAGAACGTCTCTAGAATAGAGAAAGTATATAGTTAAGGTAACTTGTTAAATCTAGTAAAGCTTTATAGTAGGTAGAATAGGCTTATTATATTTTATATAATATTACTAGATAGAACTATAGTAGGTAAACTCTAAAAGAATTTCGTTCTCTATAGAGCTGTAGTATCTTAGAATGCTATAGTAGCTTCTAAGGCGTTTATATACCTATCTCTTCTATTTAATAAAATAAACCTTATTAGAAAGAGTTTACTTTACGGCAGTATCTAAGTAACTAGCGAATCTACTTATTCTAGCACTAAGTAGATTCTTAAGGCTTAGACTATATAGATACTATATTAGCTAGTCTAAATACTATATTCGTTAGTATTGTATTATAGAAGATAGAGTACCTTACGCTTATCTTAGCTTAAGAAGGCTAGTAGGTTAAAGAGGTGTTTAAGAATATTTAAAAGCTGCACGCGTAAGGTTAAGAAAGAGGTTAGGTATTTAATTCGCTAAACACTAATACGTAGACGTTAGAAAGCCAAGCTACTATAAACTATACTAGGCCTAACCTAAACTTAATAGAGTTTTCTACTCTAATTAGCTAATAGAATAACGTATATTTACACTACCTCTACACTGCCCTAGAGCTATAGCTAATTAGAGCACTACGCGGGTCTCTAGCTACAGAATATTAAAAGTTCGAAAACTAACCTACGCGCCGCAGCTAGCTAGCTAGCCGCTAGCTAGCAGCTTGCCTACGCCTGCCTACCTATAACTACGCCCTACGCCGCGCTCGCTTAGCTTTGTATAGCTGTCGTATATATTTCTAAGTAATTCTAGCGCAATACGTAGTAATAATATAGCGCTAGTAGGCGTTATAGATACCTGCGAGCCTAGAGTTATTAGAGCAAGTAACTCGCGGAGAATAAAAATAACCTTAAAGGTAGTAGTTTTACTAGGTATAGAGCTTTCTTAGAGTTTTTTATTATTATCTCTAGTAAGCTAACCTTTACGTGTATTTATACTTATAGAGCGCGATTATACTAGCCTAGACGGACTAAGTAGCGAAGCTAATATTAACTCTTAGAACTCTATTATTAATATTATCGAGAGGAAGAGCGAGTTTCTAGGCAGGGGAGTAACAGAACTTATAGAACGTCTTAATTTAGAAGATATAGTTAAGTCTTCTTAAACAGAGTATTCTATAGTATTAGACTATAGGTAAGAGATAGTAATTAAGGCGTAGATATATAAGAGACTTAGAGTACATCTCTAACTAGTATAATTTAAATACTAGAACTCTATTAGCTATACCTTAACGCTAGAATACGTGCCTAATAGTAATCTTAAGAAATACGTTTAGAAGTATAGGTAGAAGATATTACTATTCTAGAGGTAATAGTAGGTAAGAGAGGTTACTAAGAGCGTTAAGCTTCTATACTCGCATAACGTTATTTAGAGTAATATTAGGCCGTATAATTTTCTACTTAATATTAATCTTAGCCTTAAGATCTATAACTTTAGTAAATCTTTCTTAGATAGCTTGCAGGCTATAGTCGCCTCTAGAGTAAGATATAGGCTACTAAGCTTAGGTAGAATAATAGTTAAAGAGAACCTTTTTACTTTAGGCTTAATAATCTACTTTATTACTACTAGGCACAAGCTATATAAAGAGCTAACTAATAAAGATTAGGTAGAGAAACTATACAAGAATAGAGTATTTCTAGAACTAAGCGAAGTACTCTTCGTAGAGATTATTATACTATACTAGAGATAGAAAGCTAAATTAGCTAAGATAATTATCGAACTTATAATACGCTTATTAGAGAAATATTAATTAATATAAGGTACGTTTAATTAGTGTTTGTCTACTCTATTCTTTAGTAGAGAAGAGAGAGAACACTACTTATACTTAATATAGTTAATATACTATATCTCTATAATAAGTACTATATAAAAGATATACTAACTTAGTATAATAAGCGTACTATAAATAAAGAACTATTTTAATATATATATCTAACATATCTAATATCTACTAACTAAAGTAATTATTTATCGAATTATAGAGATTACGCTCTCTTTAGCGCTAAGAAAAGCCTTTATTCTAATAATTAGAATACTAAAAGCAACTAGTAGTTACGGCTAACGTACTCGTTTCTAAGTTTACGCAGGTAGTACCTAACTAGAGTACGAATTAAAGGTAGAGTTAGTCTTTCTAGAGATAAGTTATATATAGATATTTAGTATTACTATAAATAGTACGCTTAACTAACTAGTAAACTTTAGTAAATATATTAACACGAAAGCGCCTATAGTACTAACACGTAGTAGTCTAATTATTACCCGTAATACTCTATCTAACATGTTAACTAGCTAGCCTGCTAGTTATTACTAGCTAAGTAGCAGGCGTAGACTATCTCTTAGATAGCTAGCGTAATTAGTTTAGCGAGAAGCTAAGGTAGGTAGCTAGGCTCTACGCAGCATATTTGTTCTCTCTACCTACTAACGTACGTGTCTATCTATATTAAAGCTAGCCCTCTTAACGCTAGTAAACTTACTAGGCTTCTAGTCGCACTCGCTAGCCCTGTCGCGGCTAGTAATACGACCCCGCCGCCGCAGAATAGAGCGTTCTACTCTCTAACCTCTAGCCTAATACCTAAAGATAATAACTAGCTCGAGGCCTTCTACTACGACAAGCTAGTAGCTACTAGTAGCAGGCTAGTAGTACCGCTTAAGCTGCTACTCCGCACGGCGAGCGACGTAGAGGCTAGCGCGCAAAAGCTAGAACTGTAGCTAGGCGAGACGAGCCTAGGTTACTACCGCAACAGCGATGTGCTGCTAGTATTCTTAACATAGCTAGATAACTAGATAGTATTCTAGTATAGGTAGTAGTAGAATAACTACAGCAAGATTGCTAGAGATAAAGGCTTCGCGGCCTACCTTAAGTCGCGAAGAAGAAGATACCTACATAAGAGAGAGGTAAAAACAACTTCTAACCTCTTCTTTAAGGTAACTATTAGGTAAACATAGAAGAATAAAGAGAGATTCTTAGAGGCGTCTAGTAGAGAGAGCTTTATAGTATACGCATAGGCGGTTAGGTAATATCTAGCGTTTTACGGCTTCGCACGACTAGTATAGCTCGCCGAGAATTCGCGCTAGTAGAACCTATAGATAACATAGGTTAAGTATCTTAACTACGTCTACTAGTAGCAGGACCGCTATACTATAGCGCTAAAGAAGTTAGAGCTATAGTATTATAAGGCGTAGAATAAGCTACAGCACCTCGACGCGTCTCTATAGCTAATAGCATTAATAATAATAATAACTATTCTTTAGTATTAGCAGCTCTAAGGCATTTTTATTACTCTAAAGTACGTATAGTATTTTATAATAGTCTATAACTTTCTTAATTTTCTACTAAACGAATATAATCGCGTAGACAGTTTAGGCTCTCGAGTCTACTAAAAGCTAAACTATTATCTTTAGAGTTATTCGAATATACTATCTATCTTATCTAAGACTATAGTATAATTCTCTAGTAAGTTAATATTAAGAGAGTATTTAAGCCTCTCTTTAATAACTAAGATAGCTAAAGTATAGAATTACGCTAAAGTAAGGCTATTAATTTAAATATAAGAAGTTAGAAGGCGGCTACTAAAGCTCTCGACTATCTAATAAAGAAAGCATATTCTAGTAAGGAAGACTTAGCGTAGAAACGAATACTAATATAAAAACAACTTTAGGTTACTAGGCCTTAGAATCTACTCTTCTAGAAATACTCTATAGATATTCTAGCTCTAGTTCTAATTAGTAGTAACTATATTTTTCTATTAGAGTAAGTTTTACCTCTATACGTAAGTGTCTTAAGCTAACCTTATTAGCGTAGAGCGCACTTCTATTATAATATTTAAGAAATTTGTTAATCTACTTAACATATATTGTAATCTCTTTCTATAAGATATTAGTAAGACTATAGCCTAATATATTTACGATATATTCTTCTATTAAGACCTCGACTAACGCTATTACTTTAAGAAACTTAATTAAGAATTAATTTAGAAGCTAGAGTACGATTTAGAAAGGCTTCTTAAAATCTCTAAGCTAGAATTAGCATAGGCCTAACTAGTAGTATATCTACTATATAGATATAACAACTATATCTACTAGTTATCTATATAGGCTAGGCTTTACTAGAGACTATCTTTACTAGTAGCTCTATTCTCTAGAAGGTCTATATAGGCTAATATAGAATATATACCTAATTTTTATTTCTACCTAATAGCTATAGAGATAACGAGTAGATCTTCTTCTATAGCGTATATACCTAAAGTTCTCGCAAGAATACTAATTAACCTAGAGTTTTAAGTCTTAGTAGTTACTTAAGTCTTTATGTAAGAGTAGAAAGTATTTATAGAATAAGAATAGAATTTAATTATTTACTAAGATAACTATGTATACGCTAGAGTAGTATACGCTAGTATTAGAGATTAAGATCGCGCAGGACCTATAGAGAGACTAAGAAACTTCGCTTAGTTATTATCTAAACTATTCTCTAGTCGGGTATATATACATATAATAATAATAATATTTTCTACGCTATATTAGACTAGCCTAAGTCTACCTATATAGCTGTCTACTTTTCTACGCTAGCTATATCTAGTATTATTCTACGATTTATTCTAAGTCTATAGCGTTAAGTTCTATATCTAATCTAGCTTCTCTAAGATTAATTATCTAGCGTAGCCTCTACTCTAGCAACTATCTAGTCTCTTCTAATTCTAGAGTATACTTACTATACCTTTCTATTCTACGCTTATTATAGAGTTATAACATTCTTACTATTAGCCTATTAGAAGATTCTACTCTTAGTGTAGGTAACTATACCTAGTAGAATAGAGAATTTACGCTAGAAAGAGTTTATACGTGTTACTAAGGTAGCTATACTAGAGTAGAGACTATAATTTTCGCTATTCTTTATAAAATACTAGATATTCTAGGTTTATTGCTTAGTAGAGTTCTCTATACACTAAGTATTTAATAGCTAGCGCCGTGTATATATCTACTTAATAGTCTTAGATAGTATATCGCCTATATATTAGTAGGTTCTAATATTATCTCTATCTATGTCTATATTCGTAGTAGTAGTAGTATTGTATTAGCACTAGTCTAGTTTTAAACACTTGTGTAAATACAACCTCCTCTTCTAGTATATTAATTATTAAGTTTGCTAGAAGTTAGTTAGCCTGTTTCTTTTTCTTGAGGAAGATTACTAGTAAACCGTGCTCCTTAGCTACCGCTAGCTAAGAGAGCTACCGCATCTTCGCAATCTTAACCTAGTTAAGCTTCTTAACTAGCGTGCGTTCTATCTCGTCTATTAGAGCGTTCTCTTAACTTAGTCTACCTTTAGAGAGAACTACTACTCCCCGTAATCCTAGACCTCGTCGCCTCTAACTTCTATAGCTTTTAACTATTAAGCTTAAGTTTCTTATACTTTCTTTATATTCTAGCTCTTAAAGAATACTCTTACCTTATCTAGGCTCTTTATAATTAATCTAAAGCCTTAGGCCTAGACTCTACATGCTTTTAGAGACGCGTTAACTTGTTTCTAGATCTCGCCTAGCGTACATTTAAGAAGGGTTAGCCTGTAAGAAAGATCGAGGTTAATACCTAGCACGCGAAAGAGTAGGCTCGACAGCTACAATACTACTATAGAAGAAGAGAAAAGAGAAGATTCTAACACGGCGGGTAGTAGTAGTAGTAATAGTTAAGTGCTACCCCTCTCCTTAACTAGCTGCTTAAGCTATTCTAATTGTGTCTTAGCGCGTTTCGCGCGCTCTTCTACTCGTGTTGCTCGTTTTTCTAATCGCTCGTATTACTTGTTCTTCTAATCGCTTAAGAGCGGCTTTAATTCGCGCCAGGGCATTAAGCACGAGATTGTTTCGAGTGTTCGTTTTCTTGTCTAATCGTTTCGCCGGGAGAGAGAAGAGAGAAGAGGTTAGCTGCTGTTATTTTTAAGAGGGACGAAGGGGTCGTCTAGCGCGTAAAGTACGCGTTAGTTTTAGGTCTACCTCTACCTCTATTATGTTCTCGCCTACATTATTAGAGGATTGCGGTCCCTTTACTAGTAATAAGAAAGAATTAATAGAGGCACTACTAGTAGCGTAGCTATTCTAGCAGTTCGACAGTATATTAAAGTTTCTAAAGATAGTTTATATACGCATAAGATAGTAAGTCTAGACGTTACTTTTCTATTAGCTAGCTTATAGTATATAACGCTAAGTAGTAAGCTTACCTTAGCTAGAATACGCTAATAGCTAGAACGAAATACACTAAAAGGGTATATACTAAAGGGGCGTCTGCTAAAGAGGTGTCTACCTTTAGCTAATTATAGTTAGTTCTAATAAAGAATAAGCTCTTAGCGCTAATAGCTCTAAACGAGAAGTTCTTAAAGAGAAAGTCGATTATAAAAAAAGAGAATAAGTTAAGATAATACTATTAAGCTAACGTCTATATTATACTACGGCGAAATAGGCGATATACTACAAACTTAAAAGATTATAGTATTCTTAGGCTACCTAGTCTTGTATTTATAGCTACGTTTCTATACTAACTACCTATAAAATTAGCCTTTACATTACTTTCGTCTTAACTATACCTTAATAAGCTGTGTCGACAATGCTATATTACGTC